CGCCATACTGCATCATCGAAAAAATCGATTTCCGATATTTATATCAAAAGTGCAGTCCAAAAGTATTCATGTAAGATCTCTCTCTTTTATGCGTCAGAATGCAGCATTTTTGTGCTGACACATCGATTTGCAGTCGACGCGCAGTTAGATGCGCAGAAAATGTGAAACATGATATTATTATTACAAATGAACACGTGCGACAGTAAGATTCGCAGAAAATGTGAAACAAGATACTATTACGAAGGTCATAGAAGTATACATATTTTGCACATTTGCAATCCCTCCTAAACGAGACACATTTTTGTTAGAAAGAGATGGAGATATACTGATGATATATATATATAAGTTCAGAGTCGTACCATGCCAATATGCACAGCAGCATTTGTAAATCTAGTGTGCACTTTGTAAAAGAAATGGAAGATTTTGTGCAAATCGAGCGAGAATTGCGGGAGCAGTCGGCTCAACTGAGTTCGCGAGACGAATACGACGCGTGGGTGCAAAAGTGTGACAAGTGCCTCGAGTTGTTGGAAGAACATAGTCGGGCTAAACGACCGCGATTATCGATCGGTATTAGACAGTCATTGATTGCTCGAATCGCGCAACTCGAGGGGTTAAAAAATACGTTGCGCACACGTTTCGTTCACGCGGGTGCAGGACACAGTACGAGAGATGCAGGACTCGTTTGGCGCGAGGTCGATACCGCGTTCGATAACCGCATACTAACCGGAATTGTCATCAACGCGAACCACATCGAACCTCGTCAATTTCTCGAGGATGCAAAGAATATGGTGCTCGAGCACATACGGGATGCAATGGAGAGACACGTAAACGTGAAAGTGAACACTGTGTTTAACGGTGAGTTCGTCGCGGGTGAAAAACGTGCGGTAAAGAGCATCGCTACGAAAAATTGTGAACTCTTTTCCACATCCAACATAGAAGATTGGTACGAGCGACGCATCGTCGAGCCCACATTAGCATCGTTGGAGGAATTCCAAGAACGCGATAGCGGGTGGGCATTATCGCGAATACTCAATCTTACAATCAATGTGAACAAATACAATCCGTTGCACGCGGGATGTCACTTTGAGTTACCGCGTGTGATACAACTGAAGCGGGCTGTGATCAATGTCAAATCTCCGGACAATGCATGTTTCGCGTGGGCAATAGTTGCGGCTCTGTATCCAGCCGAAAGATATGCAGATCGTGCATCATTGTATCCCCATTACACGAACGTGCTCAATCTTCAAGGCATTGAGTTCCCCATGAAAATTATTCAAATTACAAGATTTGAACTATTAAACGATATATCCATCAATGTAGAATACATATATCCCATCATGGGAGAAAAGAACGAAGCTATTGTTCCAATACGTCTCAGCGACAAAAAGAGGGAAAAGCATGTCAACTTGCTGCACATTTCGGATTCTCGAGATCACAACACGGGACACTTCGCCTGGATTAAAGACTTATCCAGGCTCGTGAGCTCGCAGTTGAGCAAGAAAGCTCATAAGAAATACATTTGCGATCGGTAAGTACATTTAATTGTATCAGAAGTATGCAATAAGGCGATAAAAATTGCAATGTTTGTAGGTGTCTGCACTACTTCCATTCCAACAAGAGGCTGGAGAGTCACGCGGTAGACTGTCAAAAAATTAACAACTGTGCCATCATTCTACCCAACGAAGACAATAAATGGCTGAATTTTAGCAATCACAACAGGAAGGAGCGAGTTCCCTTTGTGATATACACCGACCTAGAGTGCACACTGGAGAAGACGGCAAGAGATGGAGAGGATCGCAAATTGTACACATACCAACATCACAGGGTATTTAGTATAGCATTTTATATACGTTGCTCGTACGACGATTCATTATCTGAATTTCAAAGTCGTCGTGATAGTGACTGCATCTCATGGTTCGTCGGGCAACTCGAAGAAATAGCACACCGCGTAAAAGTAATATTATCATCCAATGTCCCCATGGAAACTTTGTCGAAAGAACAGTGGGCTACATTTCATAACGCGACGCAATGTCACGTGTGTGAGAAACCATTCACAGCAGACGATACGCGCGTACGCGATCATTGTCACTTCACCGGCCGCTACCGAGGTCCAGCACATTCAAATTGCAATTTAAATTACAAAAATTCATATTACATTCCAATCGTTTTCCATAATTTATCCGGCTACGATTCACATTTTATCATCAAGGAA